TACTCCCTGCCCCCTACGGGGAAGGAATTAGGGGCGAGTGTGGGGGACCCCGAAGGGCAGGGACCGTTGTGGGATGGGGCCGTGGGGGGAGGGGAGGTCAAGGGCTGGGAAGGGGAGGTGCGGCGAGGTAGGCAGAGGCCGCGGGTTTCTGCAGTGTCCCAAGCCCTGGAATCTGTCGGGGCCGCATTCTGTCGCTCTCAGCGACCGAGCAGAGCGCCCGAGAGGCCGGCTGTGTCCCCCAGCGCGGCCAGGAGGCCTAGCGCGCACAGGGCCATTCAGTAGGAGCGGTTCTCCCACAGCCGATTCGGAGGTTATTCCGAAGCTGTTTTGATTCTGCCTGTGCGTTTTTGCATTCCCGGACCCTCTATCGTAGTTGCAGCTCTCTCCACTCTTCAAAGCCGAAACCTTGTCTACACCTGCGGTGTTCATTGCCTCACTTCCCATTCATTCTTAAAGCCGCTTTACTGGGTCTTCTGTGTCACTCACCCACGGAAACTGCTGAAGCCAAGGTCACCGGAGACCTCCATGTGGCCATCCCCAATGGGCTCTCTCCTTCACCTTTTCATAGTATTCATTCAGTGACCCTGTCAACTCGCCCTCGAGCATTTTCCTGGTTTCTCTCCTGGCATTGTTGGCTCCTTCTCCATCTCATTTGCTACCTCTTTCCTCTTCTTTTAGATGTTGGCAAGGCTCTTCGTTCTGTCCTGACCTATCTTCTCTCATTCTGCACTTTCTCCTTGGGCATTTCATTCATTCCCCAGGCTTCACACACACATGCTGATGATGCCCACATGCCTATATCTGGCCTAGACCTCTTTCCTGAACTGCAGATTCAATATCCAACTGCCCTCACGATCTCCGCTTGGAAGTCCAACAGGAATTCCAAACCTATAGATCCAGGCTGAATTAATTATCTTCCCTGTGTTCCCTCTCTACCCTTCTTCCAAGTCTGTTGTTCCTTTAACGCTCTGCAATGGCTGCTTTCTAATCAGTTAGTTACCCAGGCTAGAATCCTGGGCAACAGTCTAGGTTAATGTCTACTTCCTCACCCTCTACATCTAATGTCACCAAGTTCTGTCACATACACTACCTAAATATTTTTCAAATCCATTCATTTCTCTCCATCCCCACTGCTACCAAACTTAATCTAGGTTACAACCCCTTTTTTCCCTTGGCTGGCTACTCTAATACCATACCTCCCCTCCTTAAAAAAAAAAAAAAAAGCATCCATCTGGTCATTTACTCATTCAAAAAATGCTTTTTGAGCACCTACTATATACCAGGAATTGTATTGGGCACTGAAGATGTAACTATGAGCAGAATAGACCGGGTCCTTGTCCCATGGAGCTGACAATCTACAGGAAGGGGGAATCAGAAAAGAATAAAATTACAGACTTAATAGATATCATGAAGGAAAGGTAGATGGTGCCTTGGGAACACACAAGAGCACAAGCTAAACTGATCTCGGGGGTAGGAAGAAAGGGTCAAGGAAGACTTCTCTGAGAACATGACATTTGAACTGAGACGTAAAGGATGAGTAAGAGTCAGGCTGAGAGGATAGGGGAAGGAGGTTCTAAGCAGAAGTGAAATCACATGCAAACACCTTGTGGAAAGAGACAATATGATGTTTTTGAGGAATCAAAGAAGGCCAGTGAGGCTGGAGAACAGAGCCAAAGCTGGAGAGGAAGGCAGGGGCCAGACCAAGCAGGACAATTGAGACCATGTATAAATTTTGGTCTAAAGGTCTTCGTTCTTGATGAAGAATGTTGATGGCAGTGGATGTGGAAAGTAGATCAAATCTAGAAATATTTTCAGAGAGAGAATTGTCAGTACCTAGGGATGGATTGAATATGGGGAGTGAGGGAGAAGGTAGTGTCAAGGATGGTTGACACTCCCTACTCAGGATGGTTGATCATATCATTCCATGAGCCAGTTAGGGGGTGGGCAAGAGAAACGTGAGTGGGCATGTTAGTTTGAGAAGCCTTTGAGACATCCAAGTAGAGATGCTGAGTAGAAAGAAATGTACATGTCTGGAGCTCAGATGAGGGATCTGATGGAGGGGTAAATTTGGAAACCATTGGTATATAGGTGGTAACTGAGGCTATGAGCATGAATGAATACCTATATTGAATGGTAGGTGAGAAAGACAAAAGGGCATAAGAACAGCATGGGAAATTCCAGCTGGTAGAGGAAGATGAGCCAGCAAAGGGGTCTAAGAAGCCACCAGATAGAAACTAGAGTGTAGGAAGGACACCAGGAGACGTAGCATGTAGAAGCCATGGATGAAAGTTGGATGAGAGGCCCATGGTGTCAAATGTGCAGAGCGTACAACCCAGATGAGGACTGTGAGTGATTCTCGGATCAGTGACCTAGGGGCCATGTTGACCTTGGTAAGAGCTGCTATTGAGGTGTGTCAGAAGTGGAAGCAAGATTGGAAACGGGTAAGAAGTGAGTGTGAGGTGAAAATGGCGGTTGGAGGATGTGCGGAAGAGAGAGAGCAGCAAGTGGCACTGGAGGAGGAGCATTGGGTCAAAAAAGAATGTGTGTGTGTGTGTTTGTTTTAAGTTGGGAGATAGTAGATCCCATGGAGAAGGAGAGATTGATTATATAGAAAAGAAAATGGGTAAGCAGTGGTATAAAATTCCTGGAAAGGCCTGAAAGGAAGGAACCAAATGGTAGGTGAAGCAGTTGGTTTTAGGAAGAAGAGAAAAGATAGGTCCTGAAGTCAGCAAGTCTGTATGTTTGAGGACATTCCCGACTGATGGCTTCCATTTCCTCTGTGAATTAGGAGTGGGTGGTCACCCTCTGAGAGGGTGGGTGGTGCAGGGGGTGGTCAAAGGAGAGTTGTGTTCTTGTCTTAGCTAAAAAGTCACTTCCTCAGGAAGGTCTTTGCTGATGTCTAGGCTAGAGTAAGCCTCGGGCTCCTACAGTGTCCTATTCTTTCCCCATCATAATACTTAGTCATGTATCAACAAATAGGGAGTGCTTTTAGGTGCCACGTACTATTCAACATACCGGCATTACATTTTATTGTAACGACCCGTTCAATGGCTATTTCACCACTAGATTGTGAGTTCCATTGTGGGGGAACCATTTCTTTATTATTCCTCACTCTCCCCCATGCCATGCAAAGTGCCTGGAATAAGCTGCCAGGTTAGAAGACCCTTGACCTTGAGCAGGATACCACTCCCCCTCTTAGTCTTCAGGTCTAGTGGCCTCTCTTAATTTCTGCCCTGAATTCCTTGCCCAACTACCTGCCTTGAGCCAGAATCCATTTGGCTCTTTCCATCTTTCAAGGGGACCCAGGTATGGATAACCCCAATGAGAGGGGAGAGGTTGGGTCTGGAAGATATTGAGCAGCTGGGCATCCTTTGATCTCAAAGGCAGTGTGATCACCATCACCTCAGAACTTCCCCATTCCTCCCCCTGTACTTTCTGCCCTGCTGACCAGAGATGGACAAGGCTGCCCAGGCTCTTTGCTGTCCCAGCCTTACAGCACATGTGCCCTTCCCAGATCCCACTTCCAAGTGCTAAGGAGCTTGGTCCGAGCCTGACCTCTGCAAAACCCAGCTCCATACGCCACTGCCTTAGGGAAGCACTGGGCATGAGCTTGCCAGGGTCATGGCTCTCCCACCTCCTGAAACTCATGGAGGTGCCGCTCTTGAACAGCATAAGAGCCAGGATGTCGGGTTAAGTGAGCTCCCGTGCTCCTTTCTCCCTATGTCTCAGCCCACACCTGTCCTGCACCCAGGCCCCTCTTACTTCCTTCTCAGGGACCCTTTACCATCTCCAGCACCCTCTCTACACTCCCATTGCCCATCCTCAGCCCGTGGGGCCACACAGCTTATCTTAGTGTCTCTTTCCAAAGAGTTTCAAGCTTCCTAGTGTCTCTCACCCTGTCTGCCTCACCCATCTTCCCTTCCTTCCACACTGAGGGCCAACTCTGTGGCAGATGCACGGTGGACTCTCATTGTGAGTGGGAAAGTGAAGTTGAGCAAGACATGCTCTCTGATGTGCTGATAGGATGCAGTACTGGGTATTGTGAGACACAAATGAGGGAATGGTCACTTGAGGATGGGGAGAGAGGACTGAACAAGAATAGACTTACTGCCCTAGCTGGTTTGGCTCAGTGGATAGAGTGTCGGCCTACAGACTGAAGGGTCTCAGGTTTGATTCTAGTCCAGGGCACTTGCCTGGGTTGTGGGCTCGATCCCCAGTAGGGTATGCAGGAGGCAGCCAATCGATGATTCTCTCTCATTGATGTTTCTATCTCACTCCCCCTCTCCCTTCCTCTCTGAAATCAATAAAATATATATATATATATATATATATATATATATATATATATATATTTTTTTTTTTTTTTTTTAAAAAGAATAGATTTACTGCTTTGGAGCTGTGACCACAGAACCAAGTTTTGAAACAGGAAGCAGAGTTTCTCATGAGGGGAGATAGAATGCCAAGCTGAGGGCAAACAAAGAGCCAGGGCTGTGAGAGTGTGACATGTTCTAGAACCCACCGTACTTCACGTGGCTGGAGTGTAAGGTGTGAAGGAGGCAGGGAGGAGGAGGTCCGAGAGGTCATCTGCATTGGCTCAGGAGGCTTTTGGTGTCCTGCTAATGAGCACGGATGTTTTATCCTAAAGCCAGGGGTGAGCCATCTACTTTTTCGAACTGGGGAATTACACAATCCCGTTCCATTTTTGGAAGATTACTGTGGTTTTGGGTAGAGGCAGAGCTGTTTATTTTTCTCATTGCCCAGGTGGAGCCATGTGGAGCAGACCAGCAGTTCCACGTGAGGCAGACATAGACAGGAGCCTTTCCCATTATTTCACAGATGCGTGCATAGCATTGTGCTAGAGCAGCGGTTTTCAACCTGTGGGTCGCGACCCCTTTGGGGGTCGAACGACCCTTTCACAGGGGTCGCCTAAGACCATCGGAAAACACATACTGTATATAATTACATATTGTTTTTGTGATTAATCACTATGCTTTAATTATGTTCAATTTGTAACAATGAAAATATATCCTGCATATCAGATATTTACATTACGATTCATAACGGTAGCAAAATTACAGTTATGAAGTAGCAACGAAAATAATTTTATGGTTGGGGGTCACCACAACATGAGGAACTGTATTAAAGGGTCGCGGCAACAGGAAGGTTGAGAACCACTGTGCTAGGGTCTGAGGAGCCAGAAGGCACAGAAAAGCGAGCTATGGCTCCTGCCTCAGGACCACCACACCTGAGAGATGGCAGAGCCTTGCTCAGCAGCCTGAACACCTCGCTGCCACCTGTGCTCAGAGCTGAGAGCCACACTGAGGTGGCAGAGAACTGGGGCAGAGGGTCAGGGAGTGAAAGGACTTCCTAGTGGGGAACAGGGAGACAGAACTCTCAGGTGGGAAATAAGGAGAGAGAACTGTACAGTGGGAGTCAGAGAGAAAGGTAGGCGTTTGAGAAGCAGTCAGTGAGGGAGAGTTGTGTTGGGGAAAGAGTCAAATAGGAAGAGAGAACTCTAAGAGTGTCAGGGAAGTAAGAGTGTCATGGTAGGGGCTGTCGTCAAGGGACAAGAAGAGAAGGAATTGGGAAGTGGTTGGTCAGGAGGCAGGGACTGGGATGTGGGGGGCTAACAGGGGAAGAGCACTTTGTAGTGGGGGTCAGGGAAGGAGAGTAGCCCAGTAGTGGAAGGTCAGGGAAAATGGGGAGGGTGGACTGGGAGCTTGAGGGTGGGGCCACTGGGGCGATGGGGCTGGAAGGAAAGGTAAGTGGAGAAGGTGATCCGTGAATGGCTTGAGAGGAGGGAGGAGGGGTCCGAGGGGTCAGGATACATGGGCTGTCACTGCGGAACAGGAGGTCCCCTCAGAGAAAGGGCAGGCAGAGTTTGGTTGGGGCACCATGAGCACTGGTTGAGACGCAGAAACACAATCAAAGTGTGCTTTCTGAAACTGGCAGTGGAGATGCTAAAAGGAGGCCTGGAGGAGATGGGAGGGCACATTTCAACATTAATTCTGCAACTGTGTATTGAGTTCCTCTCCTGTGCCAGGACTGTGTTAGCTCTAGGAATACTGCATTGAAGAAAAAAAAAATCCTCACAGGATGGAACTGAAATTATTGTCATGAGGAGACAACGATTTATAAAAAGCAATAATTGCCCTGGTCAGTGTGGCTCAGTTGGTTGGAGCGTGGTCCCCTACACCAGAAGGTGGTAGGTTTCATTCCTGGTCAGGGGACATGGCCAGGTTGCGGATTCAATCCCCCATTGGAGTGCATCACATCCATGTTTTATTTTTCTCTCTCTCTCCCTTCCTCTCTCTAAAACCAATTTAAAAAACAAAATTAAAGCAGTAATAAAAATAATAATAGCTTGTCAGATGGTGTTAGGTGCTAGGGAAGATTTGGGGATTGCTGAGAGGGGGTATAGTGACCTGCAGGTTTTTTTGTGTGGGTGTGTGTGTTTTCAATATGTTTTTATTGATTTTTTTTTTAGAGAGAAAGGAAGGGAGAGGGATAGAAAGATAGAAACATACATTAGCTGCCTCCTGCATGCCACCTACTGGAGACTGAGCCTGCAACCTGGGCATGTGCCCTGACCAGGAATCGAACCAGTGACCTCTGGTTCGACCCTCATGGATCAACGTTCAACCACTGAGCCGCACTGGCTGGACATGACCTGCAGCTTTTTTTGTTTGTTTGTTTTGTTTTGTTTTTAAATATATTCTTACTTATTTCAGAGCGGAAGGGAGAAGGAGAGAGAGATAGAAACATCAATGATGAAAGAGAATCATTGATCGGTTGCTTCCTGCATGCCCCTACTGGGGATCGAGCCTACAACCTGGGCATGTGCCCTGACCGGGAATCCAACCATGACCTACTGGTTTATAGGTCAACACTCAACCACTGAGCCATGCCAGCTGGGCAGACCTGCAGTTTTTGTTTTTGTTTTTTAAATAGATTGGGAGCATTTTTTTAAAAAAGGGGTTTACCTTTTTAAAAAATATATATATTTTATTGATTTTTTACAGAGAGGCGGGGAGAGGCATAGAGAGTTAGAAACATCGATGAGAGAGAAACATTGATCAGCCTCCTCCTGCACACCCCCTACTGGTTTTCAGAGTAATCAGAAAGGTCTCACTGAGAAGGTGACATTTGGGCAAAGACCTGAATGGTTGGAGGATCCAGTTCAAAGGCTCCTGCTGTGACCCAGGCTTGGGTTACAGGGGCTGGTGGAGGGACTGGTGCCCGAAGTGAGGTACTTTATAGAAAGAGTCACCAAAGTATAGCGTCAGCTGGCCAAAGGAGCCATGAATTGGAGCTGAGGCCCTTCCTTTGTGACCTGCCTTCCCTGGGCCCTGCCCTGCCCTGCCCTGCCCTGCCCTGCGGGCTGGGCCTGCCGCTCTTTCTTTCCTGACCTCACAGTCCCTCTAGGGGGTGGGCTTGGGGGCTGGTTGAGCCCAGTGATGTATGATGATAGGAACGCAGCCTGGGGAGCTCAGAGGTGGGACTGTGGATGGCAGTGTGGCAGAGGAAGGGGGCAGTGTCCAGTGTTCAGAACACATGAGCTAGGCCCACGCCAGCTGTGTCCCTGGCACAGTGAGCCCCAGTTGGGTGAGCTGGGGGTGGGGATGCACAGAGAGCCATTGTGTGGAGGCTCCGCTGTTGGAATTGAGGGAAAGGCAGGGGTTGGCTGTACTCTCTGGGGAAGTCGGGATTTGTGGATGGGGTGGGCT